GAAGGTAGTACAAATTTGTTTGGAATACTATATGTTGGATTAGATCTCCAGGAAAAAGTGATAAAAAAACGTCAGTCGGAGTTTCTACATCCGCAATTAGGTTGGGACCTGTTACTTCTATGAAAGGATTGGTTGTAGTGGCATAGTTTTCGTTATTTGAAGGGTATGCCGGAACAACTTTCTAACCGCCAAAAGTTTAGTTTTGAGAAAAACGAAAAAAACGCTTTTCTATGTTTTACTCCGAAATTAAAAACAGAAAACAGACAGGCTATTTACTAATCGATATTTTAATATATTTGAGAAACACAACATCTTTTTATAAACCATGTTAAATAAATTAAGAGCCTTAGAAAATAAATTCCCTAAAACAACGTTATATATACACGTCACTTACAACGTTTTTACACGGAAACGAGTCGTTTACGACCTTGTTTTACGCTTAATGGGTCAATTTTTTTTTATTGTAATACAGTGAACCAACATAGTTGGTGCTACAAGAAACATAATACAAATGGATAACATTTTGATGGTTTTAAACAACTTTCAGGTTTTCGTAAAAACTAACATATTTTAAGGGGATATAGTCACACATATCCATCAGGTTTGCCTTTTTGTGCACAACACAACATAATTTGGATTGAGTTTAGAGGTCTCGGTATCATCTTTCAATGTTTTATAACCCGCTTCAGCTTTTCTATGGTGGATCTCACTCTCGATTTCTATTTTTTTCTTTTCATTAGCGTCATCAGTTGAACAAAGTTTCATAAACAGCTTGTCACAATACGAACATGTGTCAGATCTTGGTAGACCAAATCGCAGATTGAACTTGCTCTAGAAAATGTCGTGATAAACCCTAAAGGAAATATTATTTGCATCGGGGTATTTCTCCTTAAAAAGTCTGAACATTTTTGAGATATTTAGATCAGCTGGAAGGCATTGTTTGGCTGAAGTATTTCTGCTGTAATGATTTTCCTGTAGGGGAAACGATCGGATGTGATCGGAAATGAGACCTACGTCCATGTTTTTCAACTTTTTAGGACGATTGAGATGCTTTCCACGTTGATCTTGAAGGTTATTCATGTGCGCTTTAAGTTTACCAATAAGCCACTGTAATCTTCCAGGCGTAATTGAGAATATATAACAAACTGTTCCTCTACATACTTGAGTGCCATTAATACTGTACTTTACAGTGCAATGTCTACGAGATATATTTTCCTCAACTCTCCTACGTTTTGGTTCTTGGAGGGATATGATTTGCGACAGATATTGCGACTGACCATCATAATGAAGCTTCCTAAATTTCTGGAACAGACTCACATGTCTTCCAACGAGCAAATCGGCGTTACATCCTCTGGGGGTTTGAGGACATTTGCAGACACGTTCCTAAAAAAAAAAATACACACATTGCACGATATCCCATACTGTCAGGATGGTCACAGGCCCAAGCCATAAGTGAAATTTCGGGACCACGCTGCATATTGTGTATTAACTCTTTCAGGGGCAAACTATTTTATAAAATTTATTCTCTATTTGGGCACAAAAAAAATTTTTTTTTATTACTTGTTTTTCACATAAAATGCTATTTGAGGATATAAATAATACTCAAAGCTTTTCATATTTTTTATTTTTACATGTAATTTTTCATATATTTGGCAAAAAATAAGTGGTGCTATATATGTACCACCGCCCTATTCCTATTTATTTCTGTGAAAGTCCTGGAAACAGGTTTTATTTTTATTTAAACAAAGAGGCACATTGCAAACGCTGCATACCCAGTCCGTTCTTACTTGTTTTTTTTAGTGCTACAGTAAGCACACCGACGTCGAGTACCGCGTTCAGGTTGACGAGATGAACCTTCAAATCGAATTTCTTCAGATGGTTTTTTTTTTTTATGGCAACAGTTTCAAAGGTTGACAAAGAAGATCTTTTTCTATCTACCAGTTGTTGTACAACAAGACCTTGTATTATACTTCTTCGGAAATCTTTCATAGAAAGTGTGGGTAGCTGTAACTCCTTATATAATACAAATGCATTAACAACAGCAGCATCCAGGAAAAAAAAGAAAATGCGATGCCACCATTTATGGCTTTTTCGATCTATTTTGTAGGAAGTAAGATTTTGGTCGAACTTGTCGACAAAATTCATATTGGCATTGTAATCAGAAAGGGCTTTTGGACAAGGCACTTTGGTAATTGATCCATTCTTTTCTTTTCGGTTCACTTCAAGAGTATCACGTGGGTCATGGAAGTTAGACAGGAGAAAAACGGAACGCTTGTCCTTCCATTTAATAACAGACAAATCACTATTGCTTGTAAACCACTCGATATCACCTCTTTTCATGTTCTTATCTGATTTGAACTTCGGAATATTCCGCCTAGAAGAATTAACAGTACCACAGGCATGTATCTGCATATTTTTTAGATCTTCCATTAGCTCGACTCCGTTGAAAAAATTGTCAAAATAGACCAAGTGATTTTTATTTTCGAGACCCTCGCATAGCTGTTTCACAATTCTTGAATTTTTCTCGACATCACCACTAGGTTTTCCTGTATAAATATCAAATTTTAGACAGTACCCATTTTTATCAGCCAGCATCCACACTTTGTATCCCCTTTTAGTAGGTTTTTTTGGCATATATTGTTTGAGAGAACTTCTCCCTTTGAATTTTATCATGGATTCATCTATGGCAACTTCACGACTTGGCAGCATACATTTCCCAAATGCCTCTGACATACGGTTCAACAATGGCCTTACTTTGTACAGCTTGTCGTAATTGGCTTCGCCTTTTTTTGCCATCAATGAATTGTCATTCAAGTGAATATTTCCAAGCAACCAACTAAATCGCTTTACCGATATTAGATTACTGACATAAGAGTCATGTAGATCTGGCGCGCGAGACCAATGGTCCCTATAACTTGGAAGGCGCTTTATGCCCATAAGTAAATTTAACCCCAAAAATGTTTTATTTTCACGAACATTAGTTGGTTTATGCTTGCTGAACTGTTGTTGAGCATACAGGTTCGTTTCAAAAACAATACTTTCTATCAAGGAGTCAGAAAAAAATAATTGAAATAATTTGTACGGTGTTGGATCTGTCATATTCGTTACACAATCTGCTAGACCAGAATGCGCAGTAAAATCTGGAGGTGGTGTAGGAGTTTTCACATTAGACCAAACTGGAGACTTTCTTCCAACTGATGAGGCAGATGAAGCTAGCTGCAGTTTTCCAGCGATAGTTGACAAAGGTATATCATCTTCTGAGTCACTATATGAACATATCAACACGTTGCTTCTAATAGTAGTTTCTGTATCACTTTCTTGGTCGTCTCTGCTACTGGCTAACGATTCACAATCAGATGGAATTTCTTCACCGTTTATACGACTTTGTTCCATTTCTGAATAAATGTTTTCGAGTTCGGCGTATAATTCACCTTCCGTCATATCGACTAGTTTAAATGGCAAGTCAGACATGTTGTAAGTCTGAAAATAAAAAAAAAATAGGGTGTAAAATAAAAACGTAATGTTTGCGGTGGTACGCATTGAGTACCAGTAAATATAAAACGATAGAGGTTTTTTTTCAAATAAATATAGGATAAAATCATAACAAAACAACTTTAATAAGATAATTACATCGAAATCATACAATGTTACTTACTGTTTTAGTGTTTCTCCACTCGCAGCTGGTATATATTCTTGACTAATGAATCGTAACCTTAATTTGCTTTTACATGCGGTATTCCGAACTCCCGCGCTATTGTCGGTGCATGCGCTCTTTTATAGACACATGAACAACTTACTTTGAGCGGTGGTTCATGGAATGAACCGCTGCTCGCTCTGTAAATGAAATTTTTAGCAGTGGTGCTAAATATGTACCACCGCCTCATTAAAGCATGCTTTGAGGTGGTTTATTTTATATACCATCGCCCTTGAAAGAGTTAAACGTTGTTACGTGGATATCAAGATTCACTGAATCATTTAGACGTCTGGACACCGATTAAATTTGTGATTCTCAGCTTGAAAGAGGGGGAGGTTATGCGAATGGATACATATACGTAGATCCTTGTTTTATAGAAATCCCACTTTTGACCAAACTGTCGGTTAGAACGTTGTTCCGGCATACCCTTCATTTGTCCAAACACTAGACTGATTGGTCGCCAATCTTGCTGGTGGTACATCGTCCTCGCTCTCCCAACCCATGTCAGCGTCTAATTCAACAGCCACGTCATTTTCCTCTTCAAGAATAATATCCATATTCTGAATGTCAAGAAGGTCAGTTTCTGGTAAGTTTGCCTCTAGATATCCTTCTCCTACTTCACTTTCTACATCCGAACCTTCAGATTCACTGCCACTTGGTATTTCATCGAGGATAGCATACAGTTCATCTTGGTTCAGTTTTTCCAGGTCTAAAAGCTTCCAAGCTGCTTTTTTATTTCCTAAAACAATTTTGTTATCACTACATTGAAAAGTGCCTAGTGGTTATTTCAGATTACCACTCATAAAAACTACGAATAAGACATTAAAAAAAAACAAAATTTGTATGCATAACTTGAGTAAGCAATTATACAACAAACATAGCGAAAAGAAACATACCTGCCATTTTTTATATCTCCCAAAAGCAAAGATTGTCACTATTTTACGCGAGAGTAGAATGTCCGTTGTAAACAACTGTTAATTGAAGACACAAGTGGATAAAGGTGTCATGTCACAAAATAATAATTCTGAGAAAAATCACTTTAAAGATTTCCGATTGGAATTTTTGTATGCATTCAATTTCAGGCATTTTCTATAAATGTTTTTTTAAACAGCATTAAATATTTTCTTTGTCTCTTGTTTAACTTGAAGACATGTTGATATTTTGAGAGAAAATGTACTTTGAAAGTACATGACACCTTTATCCATAAGAAGTTGACAAAACCTTGTGTTGACGGGAAATGAAAAGAGGTGTTATGTACTTAAACATTGGTATTTTATTGCAAAAGTAACAAAAATCTCAAAACTCATCAAAATGAACCAATTGCTTTTCTTTTTTTCTTGGGATTCTCTTCGTTTTCTTCAAAAAATTTTTCATAGAACCATTTATACTCGTTCTTGACAAACTTTAACTGTTCACGCAAGTTACTCAACTTTTCTGCAGTAAGTCCACCTTTTTTCTCTGTGATTCTGCGTAGTGTAATATTGTCCTCCTTACGTATCACCCTACTTCCTTTTTTAAATAGATTTACTTTATGAAAAGGTGAATATTCATCCAGATTTTCTTTATAAAAGTAGCTGCCGAACTCATCAACTCTAATCCATTTGACACTATCTCTGAAACAGATTTTTTGTCCCATATCATTAGTCTTTTTATTCCAAATATGCAACTTCCCTGAGAGTTCGTTAAAGTCATAGAAGTAATTTTCCATATCGAGGGTAGCACAGTTTTTCGTACTTGCAGATTTAATTAGCTCACGGTATTGTTCGGGTACATAGATATTCTCAACCTTTCTAAGTTTTTTTTCTATTCTGCCAAAATTTCTGTCTGAGTCTAGGTAGCTGTGTCCAACTTCTGGAAACTTATGATCGATGACTTTCAATGTTCCATTTAAAATTAAAAATTGATAGAGACTGGTAATATTGAAGTTTTTATTTTGGCCTGCACAAGAGTCAGACCAAATGATTAGATGATTAATATTTTTGTGAGATTCTTTGAGCTGCTGACAAAATCAACTAGCTATCTCAATACTTCCTCGTTTTGCTACATCTTCGGTCCAATTGAAAAAAAAAGGTTTTGATCCACTAGCAGTTACACAATGGATACCAAAATTATAGTACCACATTTGGCGAAGGTAAAAAGCTTTACTGGTAGAGGCATCGTTTGTTGCATATCCATAGTTATATAGCAGGTATCTTCTTCCATTGATGGTCTTTCTCTATCACGTCTCTGTGATTCAAATGCAGCTTTAAAGTTTTCTGTATGCAGATCTGTCTTTTGCCCTGAATCACAAACACTACACGTGTCACTTCTAGGGTGGCCAAAAGATAAATTGAACTTTGTACAAAATATTTTAGCATAGGAAGAAAGTGTCACTTTGAAAGAATCATCCAGTTTTCTGTTTTCACAGTCTTCGATGTACAACTTATACATTGTAGCCATATTAAGGATAGGTGACAAATATTTTTTATGACAGTTTTTATTACGTGAGTAATGTGACTCTTCTGAGGGGAATTTTTGGATATGATCCATAATGCACGCAATGACATCCTCTTTAATTTTATGAGGTCTGTTTTTGTGTTGACCTCTTTTGTCAGGTGTTGGAGCATTCATTCCTTTTTTCAGTGTTCTTTGCATAAGTTCAATTTTCTTTCGGCTAATCTGATAAAGAGAACATAGTGCACCTCGGCATATGATTTCTGTTTTTCTATTAAAAGTAATGGAATAACTAAAAGAATATGTTTTTTCTTTTTTTACATTAGTCCTATGTCTTGCAACCGGTTTGATGTTTATGCTTTTAAATTACAAAGCATTTTTTGCGTTTATATCTAATGCATAATACTTTTCTAAAATTGCTTTTCTATCTTCTAAAAGAAACTTGTCAGAGCAATCTAATCTGCATTTTTCTTTGCACAGCAATCCAGAATTTATTTCTTTTTTTGACATAACTTTCCCTGTTTGAGAAAGATACTCTTCTCCTCTTGCTCTTAAAATTGCAGATTTTCTTCTACTCCACTGATCTGGATTCCTAAGACGTTTCTTAGATGTTTTCTCCTTCAACTGAAATATTTTCTTTTTCACTCTTTCTCTTTTTTCTTCCAAAAAATGGTCATCTTTTAAATTGGGCAATCCAATATCAGCAGTAATATGCGATATAAATCGATTCTCCGGAGTTAATTGAGTACTTGAGCTTTGGTTTGAGTCATGCCTGGTTTGAGATAATAGCTTGTTTCGAACGTTGGATAACAGCTCATTATCTGATTCATTACTCGATTCGGTTTCGGATATATATTCACTGCAGCTTGTGACATCCTCATCGCTGAAATCTTTATGAGACGATGGAGACTGGTATATATCTAAAAATAAACAATAAAACTAATTAATTACCTCTTTTAAAATAAATATTGATTGCGTCCATACCTCTACTGGTACTGGGAATAATTGATATCCGAGGATTAGCTGTTAGATTTTTAATGAATTCTGCATCATTTTTATTTGTGCTAGGTTTAGAACAAATATTAAGACAAGGAAACGTCTTAGGGTTATTGTCTATATTTTCGCTCTCTTTATTTCCAAAACTTCTCATGGGACTAATTGATCCATCGTGATTAGTTTCTAAAATCAATGCAAAATCAGTACAAAATAACAACAAAATAATAAAAGCCACTAATTTTCTACCTGGTCTTGTAGTACATGCTTTTTGTTGATCCTCTAGAATCTTTAAAATGTATTTTCCTCTAGACGTCACTGAATATATTATGTTAGTAAACCAACAGTTTCAAAAACAGCACTCTTACACATAACCATTGTATAATAAAATCCAAAACAATGACATACCTAACCTCAAATTCAAATGTCATGCTGTGGATTCTCGACAGAAAATTTACACTTGACAGTGGATAAAGGTGTCATGTTACCTTGACCCCTTTATCCACTGTCAAAGGCAAAAATATGGGCACATAACACCTTTATCACTTGAATATCTAGGTAATTCACAAATATTGTATAATAACGAGACTTGATAATGAAAGAAAAGCAAATCTTAAGCCTATTGAACGAAAAAAACACGTTTTTGAAAAAATGTTACATGACACCTTTATCCACTTGTGTCTTCAATTACTACCTATGGATCCAGGCAGAAAATATTTGCCGGTCCAATAATTGACACATAATATTTTCAGTGCACTAGGCAACCAACTTCACATGCTGGTACGCTGAGAAAACCGCTAGGCAATTCAATACGCGACATTTAAATTATGGTATACTCAAGTTACCAGTGGTCCTGAAAGGGTTAACTGAACCGGTGGTGGAACTAACTCCTGATGCACCAGCGTTCACCTTCAACTCTTCAATTTTACTCTGAACTTCATTGAATTCGTCCCATGCAGGTTCTACTTTAGACAATCTACTAGAAACTTCCTGTACTATATTATCGTCTACCTCATTCTTATCTAACGAGTCAAAAAACCCGATTGAGCGTGTCAACTGGCCTTTCAACGTCTTTCTACGATTTTTTAGTGAAGCAATTTCACTCTTTTTTTACTAACTGTACTGTACTATCGAATTCAACTAAATCGCGTATAACTCAGGCTGACTTTTAACTACTAAACTTGCGTATATAACTGACGCTAACTTTAATTTCTAAGATCGCGTATATAACTGACGCAAATCTAAGGAAAGGTTTGCAGGTGGTGGAATAGTCTTCCGTCTTCTGACCTACTATTGTTGGTACGTGGATGCTACCGTCTCGATGCCTGCTCGCTACTTGTAATCCTACGCCAACGTCATCGAAATGGCGGCTACCTCATGCGCCGAAAAGTAGATCCGCTGGTATCCGTGCTCGATTAGGACCAAAAATTTTGTAAAGGATGCCGGATGAGATCCCTGCTTCCTTCATGGACTGTAGTCACCACTTACTTAACTTTTTAGTTATAAAATCAGGAAAAAACTCAGAGACTAACGCACCTGCTGCTCCTATCCACATTTCTTTCTTGTCACAATACATTGTTGCCACATGCAACTTAAAATCTTGGGTTACTAGATACGTACAACGTAACCATTTTACAATATTCAAAATGTAATAAAGTTCCAAACATCCCTTTAGTATAAATCCTGGTTAGGGGCTTTTACCGCTAAAATGCATTGCAACCACGGTCTCACGTATGTTGTCACTATAAACAGGCAGATATCTAACAGAGCTGCCTTACCTTTATTAGAAAGTTTGGGAACTTAGTAACACTATTTTTAATTAATAGAGTTTGATTATATCAGGCTGAGTGCTCTGAGTTGGGCAAAGTTTCTTGTAAATCTATCTCTGAATCTGAAGAATAATTTTCTTGCAATATGATGTTGAAGGAGTTAAGGAACCAAGATATTTAGCTCGCCGCTGTTGTTCTTCGGTGTTTCTAAAAGGCTTCTTTTATGGCTCATTTCTTGTCCTCCCCAGCTAAATGACCAGGTCGACCTGGCTCTCTCTGCCGCTGCAAGAAGATCCTATATTCATTTATTTTCATCAATTGAATGGCATCGGCAGGCAACAGATTGTCCAAGTTCGTCACAAACTCTAGTCGACATTGCTCAAAGACTTCTTGTGTTTTGCTTGAATTTTTTTACAAATCTCTCCAAACCAAGCCACAAATTTTAGTCGGAACTTGTTTTGCTTGACCGCCACACAAAGAAAAAAAATCTAATACTAATGATGAAACCTAATTAACTGTATACTGGGAGCCAAATAAAACAAGATATCTAAAAAAATCGCAATACAGGGTGCCCGCAAAGTTGGGGTTTTCCTTTACAGAAACAACTACCCTTGAAATAACAAAGGTAATGTGTAGTGAAACGAGGGCGACCAAGTAAAAAAAAATAAAGGAAAAAGTACTCACTCTCCAGTTGACGAGAAAGGCTAAGTACGTCTCTGCCCGAAATCATACCGCTCCAACAGAAAATGAAATCAGCTGATGCGCTACCGAGCAGACGCAGGCACGAACAGAGGTAACAAATATGACGGCGTTGCCGCGTTTTCAGTTTTTAGGTAAACGTACCTTATAGGTATTGCTCGAAGTTATCGCCATTTGATTCAAAAACACAGGTGCGTGCACGATGTAGCCAAGCATCGGTGCAGGCTTTGATAATGGAGTCCCTCCCCCGAATGAAAGCACCAACTTGTTCAATTCTGAGACGAAGTTCGTCAACCGTATGAACTTCAGTTTTGTACACTAAGCGTTTCATTTCTCCCCAAAGAAAAAAATCACATGGTGTTAAGTCTGGAGATCGCGGAGGCCACGCTACGGGTCCATTACGTCCGATCCACCTATTCGGAAATAATTCATTCAAAAACTCACGCACTTCGCGTCTAAAATGGGGCGGTGCACCATCGTGCAGAAACCACATTGATTGTCTTACACTTAATGGCACATCTTCTAACAAGGAAGGCAAAATGTTGCGTAAAGAGTCTAGGTATTGCATCCTGTCCAATCGATTTGGGAGAATAAATGGTCCAATGAGCATACCGTTCACCATGCCAGCCCAAACATTCACCGAAAATGTTTGTTGAAAATGTGCCCGACGGACAGCGTGCGGATTTTCTACTGACCAAACATGACTGTTGCGAAAGTTATTCACCCCATTACGCGTGAACGTAGATTCGTCTGTCACCAATATGCACTTCAAAAAGTCCGGATTATTGTCATGTTGATGCAACAACCAGTCACAAAACCGCACTCTTGCTGGAAAATCGTCAGGTTGAAGGGCTTGTACACGTTGGACGTGAAACGGATACAGCCCCTCTTCACGCAGCGTTTGCCACACTTTAGTTTTTGATACTTGCACTTCTCTAGCCACGTCTCTAGTGCTTGTTGAGGGATTCTCGTCTACGCGATTCAGTAGTTCTTCCTCAACTTGCATCATTCGTGGTTGTCTAGGCCTCCCACTGTGCCCACCTCGAAATTCCTCCAAATGGCCCGTATCCCTGACTCTCTGGACCAGGTACACAAATCTGCGGGGCCTTGGATGATGTTGTCTAGGGAAACGAGCTGCATACACTCGCGAAGCCTCTAGCATTTTGAAGACATTCGCCATAAATTAACAACATATCAACGAGTTCATTATTGGTGTATGAGTGTGCCATTATTATTATTATTTTTTTTTTGAAATGCAATCGATAATACGGGTTCGTCTACCTCTACACGCGTGACCGTAACCGTCGGTTGAAGGTTGCATACTGACCTGACACACTGACCCCGGTCCAATTCTGTCGTCGGGTTGAGCTAGTGACTTTGTACCACTCGGTGATGTCGCGGGTCGCGGCTACAGGACGGTATTCAGATATTTTTGATGTTGCAGAGCCCTTTATCTCGATTCCCTTAAGACATTGGTGTATATGGTACTAAGAAAAATTGCTTATGTTTTCAAGATCTACACGTCGTGTAAAGGAAAACCCCAACTTTGCGGACACCCTGTATATTGTCAAAACAAGCAGCACCACTGGAATGCAAGTTATAAAAAAACCCTAGATAGAGGAAAAGACTCTATGTCTGAGACAGAACTACACATTTAAATGACTCAAACTTCCAAAAATCCATGTACATTCTCTGTTACTAGAAACTTACTTTTCTTTATGTAGAAGCAAGAAACGATAAAAATATACCAAAGTGATATACCCTCAGAAAGTTATCCCTTGTTCTAAAATAAGTTATGGCAGCTGAAAATTCAAAGTCATGATTAATGTAATGTAATAAGGCCAAAAGACAGTGACATGTAGGCACTACCCTATATTTGAATTCGTAAAATTCCAAACAAAATCAAGAACACACTAAGAACTTCAGTCAGCACAATCAATATATCAATATCTATAAAATACCCAATTAAAATGATATTTTACGTGCTCACTCAGGGTTTTTATAAAGGGGAAGAGATGGCTTCCGACCAAATCGGCTGCGAAACAGCTACAAGGCAGCTACAAAACAAAGCTGGAGCAGTGTGAATGATGGTTCTCCACAATGGCTTTCCACTTAAAGGAATCAGATATTGAACAAACTTCAGGACAAGCATTAATGGACATAGTCCATTGTATACAAAAGAGAACTTACCGCTGGAGGTTAAAATCCCATTCGAAGATGGACGGGGTAGACCCAAACCAAAGCAACTAAACGTAAGGTACAAGATAAAAGGGAACTACTCCATAAACTGGTGCTTGGGGCGTTAATATCCCAAAATCTGAAAGTTAATGAAAAAACGCCCGCACACAACCAAAATCACAGCGGAAAAGCAAAAGTGAAATGGCGCTGGACGCGTCGGTAAGCAATTAAAAGAATGTATCTTGATAGTAAATCACATTGCAAAAGAAGGTAACTTGATGGTAAATCAAATTTTAACAGATGGTATCTTGATAGGAAAGTAAACGTTAAAAGAAGGTTAAATGAATGGCCTTGAAGAAGGTATATTGATAGAACGAAATATCCCTATACGGTTAGTACGTGTAAAGTCACAAGGTGGCGCGCTGGTTACCAACTCTACGAGGGGATATTTTATGAGAAAATTTCGAAGATAGTCATTAATAATACTATAACATTAGTGTCCAAACGATTTCGATACAATACTGAGACGCTGAGAATGACAGATATAATACGTGGGAAAATTATACAATCAATACACTACGAAATTTGACAAAAGAAAATCATTGGAAAATGTTTGGTCTAAGAATCGGTACTCTACTATTAATGAAGAGAAATTCAAATTATTCATAAGTGATCAAAACAGTAAAAAAAAAGATTACGTGATTTTATCACGAGACAGATTATAGAACAAAACTGCTAGTACTTGTCCATTGGAGGGAAGTTTTGCACTGGTAATTTGATGCTTTACGTCCTCTATCAAAAGTATTTCTTTTTTAGAACTGCGTAATTCCTTCGATATGTTGATTGGACGAAAACAGTGATTTGCTAATAAAACAAACGAGCACTGCAATACGTTAGCTAGCGCGCGCATAATATGCAAGTTTTGACATGTTCCATGGCAACTCGGCATCGGTTGCCCTGGCGCTAGGTACATTAAGCTATATTTACAATTGTTTTGACATTGTTCAAGCAAAATTAGATGGTATGCGTTTGAAATTTTGCATAGGGTTCAAATATTATTTCCAAAATTAAAAAGTGTTCTGTTATGTTTATGCAGATCATAGTAAAATGTATCATGAATTTATCTCGTAAACATGAGGAAAGGCTTAACCAAAATGATTTGCATACAAATCAAGAACAATTTAGAAAAATTGTGCCCAGCATGTTGAAAGATGCAGATATAAGCCCATCAAATGTTGTGATGGTATACCTCACAAATTGGAAGTTATTGTGCAATTTCATATGCTTATATTCACCGTATCAATCGATGCTTTTTGTCATTTTCTTTATTAGAAAGGACCTCCTTGCCGAACCATTAATTCATAGTCATTTATAAATATTCATATGTCATCCACGTACATTTGTTGATACATGAGACATGCATATCACTGACTGCTTATTTGTTAGAAAATAAATATGTAGTAAAATAATGATTAATTGAAAACGAAACGGATAGATTTGTTATCATGGACTGGTTTGCAACATTTCGAGTATTGGACCTACAATTAGTTTCGTGAGAACTTTATAGACCATTTTAGGTGATGTTAGACTTAGAGACAGGATATAAAATAAGGTTTGGTTTATTAGAGTCAATCTCGTTCAATACTTCTTACTGCTTTTACATGTTTATAAGTGCTTTATCATGGCAGTATATTTCTTTGGAGTATTTGCACGGATCAATAATTTTTCTAAATATGTCCAGCATTTCACGATGTACATGTCTTTGCTTTTCTTTTCCTTTTTTTACCAGTGCACCGCAGATAAAAGATAATGGTTAAAATCATTCTTTGAAAAAAATATAGAAATTTCACACCCTACGGCAGTCTGTCAACTCCTGTTACTACAAATATTAACTTTTTTTGGATTTTAT